GCTCATCAACATGCGTCTGATCAGAGCGCCATCTTGGACCTCCCCATCTCCAACGACAAGCTGCCTGTTCATCCTCCTGTCCTGGTGACGACCCGCTACACTCTTCAGCTAGCTTCAAGTTTGCAAACCTGGTCAGTAGCCTATATGTATGCTGCCGCCATTTCACACATTACTACATACATACCCACTCACATTACGTTCCCATTCGCCCATTCTGTGTGCTTTTTATTTTGATTATGCAAATGTTATTTCTGCTCTTTAAGATTGTTGTTTGATGTTGTTACTGTTTCTTATGTATACATATTAAATACATAAATATATTCTAACCCTAAGCTAGGGCGGCCACCACCGTTACAGGGCCCTATTTTAATGATCTAAGGCAGTGGTTCGCATGCGGCCCGTCACAAATTCAAATGCGGCCCACCATGCTGAATACAATTTAAAAAATAACTTTCAGTTATACAATAAAATTTAATAATTTTAGTTTTTACATTAATTTAAAAATGTACTAAAATATAAGCTATAATGTTTTTATGTAAAATAATTTAGTTTTTCATATATTATTTTCAGACATGCAAAGACCTGTACTCACGTAGCCTAATTAACGTTACGCATTTAACGAACACTTACAAGTGCGCACTTTGGCAGAATTCTATTCTATTCAGACTATTTTCAATTCAAATAGTCATCAGCAGCCATTAGTTCGGTAAGATTGAGCATCAGAATGGACACATTTGTTATTAAGGGAGAAAAACGAAATGTGGAAAATGCCAGCGAAGGAGTATGCGACTACTCTCGCATACAAGCATGAGTAGTCGCAGCAGTGAAGGTAGGAGAGTGCTGGACTTTCGGCATCAACTTTCAGTTTGCCCCGCCACTCACTTGAAGATGTTCAGGCTAGAGCCCTGCACGGGCCTCAAATATATGACATTCAGGCCCTATCCCGGCCCTTGTCCGACAACTTATCAGAATTATCCCGAACCCATCTTTTTTCCCCCTTCTCCCAAAACAGCTTATACTACTGTTTCAGCTATATTAAAATAGTTCAGTTTTGTATGTAATGGCAAAGTGATTATATTTAGTTTAGTTTTTTTATTAAGTTAATTTAGAAAAAACGTTTGGAGAATTTTTTGGTCGTTAAATATAAGTTTTTGTTTTTTAAAGTAACGACCAAGCGGCCAGCGGCAGACAGTGAGCTGATCATAGCCTATGTTTGATCAATTTAGCCTTCTCAAATCATCACGACTTACCTAAAATAAAATCTAGAGATATAAAAGAGTTCAAGCATATAACAATGTTTTAACGTCAACTCGTCAGCTCATGTTTATTTTAGCACTTCAGTCAATGAATATGCAGCCTGCAAAACACTAAAATAAATATCAAAGAAATAATACAGTTAAAAAAGAAAGTAACCTAAATAAGAAAGTTAAATATGAATGTCATTACCTGTACTTATAAAAGTGTGCGTACAAGTAAACAAACTTATCAGAATGACCAGGTATATCATTTGTCTCATAACCATGGCCACACAACTATCAGGAATGATGATTGTAGACTCTTGCTTTCCTTCCGCCTCTTCCGCACCTCGATTCCTCTCTCAGCTCCTCGAACTCGATCCAGCTGCAGATACGATGCACAGATCCCCTCCTGTCTCTTTCTCTTCCACACGGGAAAGCCTCAGGCCATTTGGAGAAACGGTCCACTATCACAAGCAAATATTTGTGATTTCCACAAGGAGGCATGTGTGTAAAGTCTATTTGTAAATGCTGAAATGGCAGTTCCGGGTGTGTAAGAGAATCATGTTTACTAGCTTTATGTCGATTGGTCTTAGCACAGATCAAACAAGCATCTAATAACAACAAAGTATTTTTTCTTACATTTGCTATACAATACGATTGATTCAAATTTTTAATCACTTTCTCTTTTGACACATGTGAGACACCATGATAGTGTTTGCATAGCATAACAATGGTAGAGGCTGGCAGAGCAATCCTGCCCTGCTTATCTCTCAAAATACCTGCTTGATCCGGTTTTGCCTCATTCGCTGCCCAGTGGTTTAGATCACTTTGAGTGGGGTTTGCCTGTAATAGTTTAATATCCAAATCATTAGTCAACACAAAGGACATCATGGGCACCTCTGTGCCTGCTTTGTCAACATGTGGACTTGATAGGACATCTCTAGCTGCCCATTTAGCTACTTCGTCTGCAAGTCTATTTCCCCTTGCCTCTTCTGACTCTCCTGATGCATGCCCAGTTACTTTTATCACAGCCAATTTTGACGGTAACTGTGCTGCATGAATCAGTTCAGCCACAACACTGTGGTGGGATATGGGTTTTCCTTCTGAAGTCTTAAAATCCCTTTCTTCCCACAGTTTGGCAAAATCATGTACAATTCCATGTGCATATTTTGAATCGGTGTATATGTTGATACACTGATCTTTTGCCAATTGACAAGCTCTTGTTAACGCAATTAATTCTGCCACTTGTGCTGATTTATATGGCAGAGAATAGGCCTCTATGACACAGTCAGGTAATTCAACAATCGAATACCCACACCAGTATTCATTATCATTTGGTTTATAGCATGATCCATCTACATACCAATGTTTCCCCTCCTCCAGGACAGATGCGGACACATCTGGCCTGCAAGCCGTCGAATTATGAATCCTGGCTAGGCAGTCATGATCGCTGTCCTCAAATTCACCCTGCAATAACAACTTATGCAAACATAAGGTTGGACCATGAACTACGGAAGTTGGTTTCAATGTTAAATTAGCAGTAGCTAATAATATTGCTTCATAGCCAGAACGTCGTTGAGCAGTCATATGCTGCGTAGAAATGTTGTGCATAATAGCTCCTACCTGATGAGAGGTGTGCACTATGAGTGGATGTGACAACACTATACGTTCTGCATCCTGCACCATGATCGCTGCTGCAGCCACTGCGCGCAGACAGGCTGGAAGCCCTCTAGCCACCGAGTCTAAGGTTTTAGACAAATACGCTACTGGGCGATAAATGCCCCCGTGCTCCTGGGCCAAGATTGCGGCGGCTGTTCCCCCACCTTCGTGCACGTACAAATGAAAGTCAGTTGTATATTTCGGTAGGCCAAGGGCAGGTGGCCTTGTCAAGGATGCTTTCAAATGTCTGAATGCGTGGTCCATTTCTGCTGTCCATGCAATATCATCAGAGTCCTGCATGGTGGCTGCTCTCAAGATTTTGTCATACATGGAACAGTTCGGCACCCACGCTCTGCAATAGTTCACCAAGCCCAGGAAGCTTTGCATTAGCTTCTTCGTGGAGGGCCGTTTGTACGTAGCAATGGCTTTGATACGATCAGCAGACAGTTTTATTGTACCTTGTGACAATTCATGTCCGAGGTAATCCACCCTCCTCTGCACCCACTGAAGCTTTTCTCTTGATGCTTTGAACCCAGCTTCCGCCAGGATGTTGTAGACGATGCTGGAGGCAGCAGCACACTGGTCCGCAGAGGCACCAGTAACGAGGATGTCGTCCGCGTATTGTAGTAGACAGGTATCAGGAGGGAGTTGAGCATCCGCTAACGTTGCGTGCACTACGGCGGTGAACACAGCCGGCGAATCTCTCAGGCCCTGAGGCAGTCTAGACCAGCTAAGTTGAGCATGGTCAAAGGTGAAGGCGAACAGCGGCTGCGAGACAGGATCTACAGGAATGGAAAAGAATGCAGAGCATAGATCAATAACTGTGAAATAGGCATGTGAACTAGGAATAGAATTTAGTATTGTGTGCACATCAGGTACAATAGGAGCCAATGGTTTAATTATGTCATTAATCTTTCTAAGATCCTGTGTCAATCGCCAGGAACCATTTGCTTTTCTTATTGGATTGATCAGTGTATTGTAGGGTGAGTAAGTCTTGATCAGAATGGCTTGTGCCAGCAAATTTTCTATAATAGGACGAATCCCATCGATTTTTTTCTTTGGAGAGAGGATATTGTTTACAATAGACTGGTGTGTGTCTGGTCAGAGTAGCCGCATAAGGGCGGACATCTATCAAGCCCGCATCATCCTTATGCTCCACCCACAAGCGAGGGTTGACATCCATCAGTTCCGGTAAGGCTGCAGTTGCTGCCTCACCCTCAGTGGTCGCACTTCCTGTTTCAACAGTCAGAGAATAGACAGAAGGAAACATGAGTTGCAGAGAATTATTCTGAAATGTAATATGAGCACCCAATTTATGCAGCAAATCTCTACCCAAAAGGCAAAATGGAGCATCAGGTATTATCGCAAAAGCGTGCATCTTAAACAAAGAAGGATTGTCTTTAGAAGTTACCGGTAAAGTTGGTGTCATTTCACAACGTACAGGGACACAGGAAATTCCCACAGAGTTAATAGTTTTCCCTGTAATAGAGCCCTCGTATGCTTTACCGGACAAAGATGACCGTGAGGCACCCGTGTCCAAAAGGAAAACATACGGTTTACTGTCAATTTTCAATTCAAGAAAAGGTAAGACAGACGATTTATTCGGGTATGTAACAGAAATCATCGAATCTTAATCAAGAAAGGGCTCTAAACTCTGTGGGCAACCCTAACGGGGAGTCTACTTTGTGGGGTAATTCAGTCTTTCTGTTTGTTGCCTTTGTGGCAAAGCATTAGCCTGTGGCCTGAAGCCAGCAGACCCACCTCTTTTCTGCTTTTTATCCCACTGCTTTTTCCTACAAGCGTTAGCAAAGTGTCCCGCAATGCCACAATAATAACAGACTTTCGACCCTGCTGCCTGATTTGAACGTGCTTTGACAACAGTATTAAGCTGCATCATTGCTGTAGGTTTCCCTCGGGAGGCTTCAAAAGCCCCCATGGTGGAAAGCTCATGCAGTCTCCGAGACAAAGCGTCAACCGAAATATCTGTTATATTCGAAGTTGTCAAACGAACCAATTGTGCG